TGTGAACATCCCAACTCGGGGGAAAAATATTCCGGTGTTAATTACATCGGGAACAAAGCGCAATTGCCTTGCCGTGTAACCACAGCCTTATACTTCTGCACCTGATTAGAATCTAGGAAGGCAGAGAAATTATAACGTTTCTACACCAATTGATACTAAACAAGGGATGAGTTCTTTGCCAGTTTCATATATGCTATTTTTCCAAATGTCTTCCAAACTGTGATCCCACAAATATTTTCCTACTCTTTCACAGACGACAATTAAAAACATTATTTGTTTCTAGTACATCCTCATGTAAAAACATACATTTTCAAATGTCTGAGGGATCTATAATGTTGATGAAGTGAAAATCAGTAACTGTATTATTCCTTCTCAAAGAAGCCACAGTAGTTATCTACTGCAAACTTCCTGCAGTTTAAACACTTATGTCCTCTCTGCTTTTGCTTGTTTTCCTGTCGAGAGCACACATGTCACAGTTCCAGAACACTACTCTGTGTATAATCCTCATATTTGTTACATTTAATTTTGTCATTATGCACTAATGTATTGATAAATTAGCATAGCTAATTATTTAAAAATTACCAGTCATGTTCCAGATGGATGCAATTATTTCTCTTTTCAGCACTGCTTCCTGTCCCTATTTGTTTAATGTGATGAATCCTAACCAGAGGCATTTCCCCTGTATTCATGCCACTTTGATTAATGATTCAAGCAGCAGCATATCCATAGAAGCTACTTGATTGTGTAGACTCTGAGAAGACTCTCTACTTTTATAGAACTGGCACGTCAAGGAGACTCAACAAAGTTGCACCATGCTTCTATACCATAGATCAGGGGTGTCAAACATAAGGCTCGGGGGCCGGATCCAGCCCATCCAGGGCTCTTATGCAGCCCGCAAGCAATTGATGCAAGGGAGGCAGTGTTGAGGGTGGGGGGGGCACAACCACTCCATTATGGCTTTAGCACAGCAGAACAACCTCGCCTGCAGCAGTCAAGCATTGTGGGAGCATCTGTCCAGCATTGCACTGCTGCCTCTCCAGTCCACCTCTGTGGGTTTTCCTCTGCACCCCCCTCCCACCCCATGGGGCCTTGCAGTGAGGACACACCAACTCGGAGCTCACCAGCTGCTGTCCTTTATGCAGTTTCTATCTCCAGTACCTGACATTACGTTTTATGGCACACATGGCCTGGCCTGACAAAGAGACATTTATGTCAGATCGGCCCTTGTAACAAACCCGGCCCTCTGCCATAGGTCATATACAGAAATTAAATTTGGGTCATATTAATGTACATTTGTTCTTTAACTATTTTATTCATTTCCTTTTTTACAGTTAGTACACCAGCTACAGTAAACACATTATTCTATTTTTTTATTAATTTCCTAAGGAAAAATGATTCAAACACCAGAGTGAGGCATGGGGGTAAAGCAGAGTTTTGTTGTATCTGCCCGTACACTCTGGCTTTGTTTAAAAATAGTCGTCCCCCCTCCACTACTCCCACTTTCCTTAAAACTGCATGGGAGTTTGCCTTTCCCCCATACCAAAGCTAATAGCAAGAAAGAGAAGAGTGTGTAGGGGTGTGATGGGCTCTGGCCAAAAGCTCCAAGGTTTGCAGAAATCCCACGAAAACAATATATGAGATCCAGGGTCATATTAATGTACATTTACATTACATTCCATTTTCCCCATACCAAAGCTAATAGCAGGAAAGAGAAGAGTGTGTAGTGGTGTGATGGGCTCTGGCCAGGAGCTCCAAAGTTTGCAGAAATCCCACGAAAACAATATACGAGATCCAGGTTTGCTTACAAGGAGATTTCTAATAAAACATCAAATCTTACAGAAAATGTAGGCTAAGCTTCCATCAGCTAGGCCTCAAGTGCGTATACGCAGAGAGAAGCTTGACAAAATACGAGACCACAAACAAAACTAAAACTACCTGTCTTGTACCGTAAATACTGGCGACCAGTTAAATAATCAATAATTAAGCTATCCCAAACACTTGGATGAGCCAGGCCTCCTTGCACCTGGCGTTCAGTGGGTGGAAGACACAACCCAGGCCTTTAAAGATAAGGACCGCTAGCAAACATATGACAGAGAGGAAACTTCCCCTGAGAGCGGCCAATCACTGTTCTCCCACAAGACTCAGAGCAACTAAGCACCAGCATGTAACAAAGACAGAGTCACACAAGCCATACAAGTGGCTAAAGTGCAGCTTTATTTTTTATATCAGACATCAAGGATCTTAGATCCTGAGTCAGCATTTCTCTCTCACACAGAGATATTTAATTCATATTGATCATTGATTTCTTGAATTTCATTTACTTTGGTGTATGTGTTTTTACTGCTTTGAGAATGAAGGCTTAACTCAGGGGTCCCCAACCTTTTTGAACCTGCAGACACATCTGGAATTCCTACATGGCATGGTGGCCACAGCACCAAAATGGCTGCCACAGGAGGCAGAGCCAGCCACAAAATGATTGCTACAGCTTAATTTCAGTAATGCAGCATAGATCCTTGTGCTGTGATGGCTGCTGTTGTCAAAGCAACATTTTTTAAAAAAATCTGCACTGCCAATCAAATCTCCAGTTGCCAATCAGAAGCCATGCTGGGCAAAAACCCTACTTGGCCTCACCCACTTCCTAAAAACACTTGGCAAATGCCAAAAAAAGGTGTTGACAGGCATCATGTCACCCAAGGGCACCACGTTGGGAACCCTGGCTTAACTTCTGTCTCAAGTTCCCCCCTTATGCAAAGACAGTGAGATATCTATTACAGGGGATAATTAAAGCACACTCCTCTGCTTCTACCTCCCCAGACTCCCTCAACACCCTGCTGGTATAAGAAAAAAAACCTTTGTTGTACCCTATAGTGAATGTTTATTCTGAGACAAATGTAGCCTGAATCCCTCCATCTCTCCTACCACAAGTTTGTGCAGCTCTGTTTGCCTGCCAGCAGCTACAAGCAAAACCTTGTATACAGTACAAACAGGACCCATGTTTATATAGAATCAAAATCCTCTTGAATATCAGTTGAAATTATGCTATGATTGGCGGAAAGTGGGAAAGCTATGCATAGAAATGGCAATCAGGATGATAGTGTCAGTGGGAAATCAGTAAACTGTTACAGATGGATAATGTCCATGTGAGGTACATATAGGTCAAGTCACTCTCCTCTCTCTTCTTCATTGCCTCATGAAATAGAAATGAGACAAGCATCAGCAAATTATCAGAGAATCTACAGTTTTCAGACTTTTCCTCATTATTCTGAACATGACTAATGAACATAAATGAAACAGTTACAATAACTACATAATGAACAGAATTTGAAATACATATCCATTTGCTCATACTACAACTCAGTTTTCCATGTACGACAAAAAAACCTTTCTAAAGTACATCAACAGTGCCATTGTTAGCATGAAGAATGCCATCCTACTCTGTTTAGGATGGCACTGTAAGTATTTTATTCATTTGCTCTAGGTATTACTTATGACATAATCATAAGTACTAAGTATGCTTAGTGTTCCCCCTCCTGTAAGAAGTTCCTTGATTATTTCAGTGGATCAGCTGAATATTCATATGCAAAGGAACAGAGCAATTCCCTCAATGCAAGTCCAAGGGAAATCCTAAAATATGCAGGAGCTCACATGAAGACATGCAGAACAAATGTGTGAAAGATTTAATACAAAATGCACGTAATACTGAGCTTGGATGACGTACATTTAAAGTGTTCATAGTGTTTCATATATAATATCCCAGTAACATGGGCTGTTCTCATTAGTATGCAAAGCAATATACTTGACCTTTGTCTATAATTTTCTTACACAGCAGGAACAGGAATTGAAGATACTTTTATCTTTGTGTCAAACCCCCTTTTATAAAGATTTCATGCATGTTATCGGTCTAGTAGTCTGTTACGTTTGCCACATCGTTAACTCACTATTGTTTTTGCATCTGAATTAAAGTAACTGAGATTATTAACACTATCTGTACTGCCTTCCAGAGACATAGACATTGCATTCTCGCTCTTTGTTAACTGAGAAATTATGTTTGCTAATAACTGTTTGTCTATTTACCCAAGTATATCCTGCCATTTCCTTTGTGACTCAAGGCGGTTTACCGATGGTGCCATTAAAACCATAAATGTAAAATACATCCTTTTCCCCAACACCCCCCCCCCACTCTACAACAAACCCTATGTCTACAGCTCAAAACTTACTAAACTCCACTGCAAACAGCACGGCCTTGCAACACTGTCACAAAACCTTCTAAGAGGATGGACCTCTCAGGGAGCCCCCTCAGGAAGCCAACTGGGGGAGGATACTATTGAATAGAAATTAGCAGGGCTATTTTTGAACAGGAACGCACAGGAACGGAGTTCCGGCTGGCTCCTGAGTTGGCCACGCCCAGCAGGAACTCATTAGCATAATAGGCCACACCCAACAGCAGGAACTCATTAGGATTGGCTACATTCGGGGTGTGTGGCCTAACATGCAAAGGGTTCCTGCTACAAAAAAAGCCCTGGATTTTGGTAACAAACAAGGTAAACAGAATAAGAAGCAAAAGGTGGGTGTGGCTGGATGACAACACTTCTGGTGACATGGGGGTGTGGCCTAATAGGCTAATGTGCTGTGTTGTCAGGGTGTGGCCTACTATGCTAATGAGTTTCTGCTGTTGGGTGTGGCCTGTTATGCTAATGAGTTCCTGCTGGGCTTTTTCTACAAAAAGAGCCCTGGAAATTAGCACTAGTAAACTCAGGAGAATGGGGAGGGGGATGTCCAGAAAGTGACAATCAACAGAGGATAACTGCACCCTTAATTATCTGCCTGGACATTTATTTAAATCATATAGAAATGTGCAATGGAATTAGTATTCCTTACCACCTGAAATAACAGATGTCAAACAATTTACCATTAAAAACTTCTTTCTTTGATGTTTTATTACTGTTTTATCAGTATAACAGACTGGTAGACATATTAAAAAGGGAAACTGCTGTTCTTACCAGTTGTTGCCCTTGTACACCCCATGCTGCATACTGTAAAACTGAGTTCTCCACTTCTGGAGGATTTAACTCCCAAACTTCCCTTGAAAAAAGTAAAAATTTTACTTGAGCATATGCACAGCATTATTTGCCATAAAACAAGATATATAGCATTGTCTTACCTTGTATGTATGTTGTATATCACATATGAAGCCGTATAAGAATAATGAAAAACCTGTAAAACAAGGAAGAAGAAAAAATAGCATGGTTATGGGTACAGGCAGAAGGCAGGGAATACAGACACAATCAGAAGGCAATTTTATTTATTACTCAGGATATCATTATAACAAAAGTGGCATAAATGACTGACAGGAGACTGGATACCCCCAGAAGCAGTAGTGGCAGCGGGGGTGGAGGAGTTAGAGCAGATGTGTCGAACTCATTTGTTACAAGGGTCAGATCTGGTATAAATGCCACTTTGTTGGGCCAGACCATGTGTACCATAAAATGTAACACGAGGTACTGGAGATGTAAACTTTAGAAAGCTGATTTCAGATGCTGAATGACAATAGACTTGATTGGATTAGGTTGCAGAGGCGTAGTATGCATGGAGAGATCATCATTAGTAATGAGACAGGAAACTTAGGTCTCCTTTTGGTCCAGGAGGATTCAGTCCAGGAGGATGCAAAGAATAAATGGACATAAGTCTGAAGAAGTGAGCAGTGACTCACAAAAGCTCATACCCTGCCACAAATTTTCTTAGTCTTCACGGTGCTACTGGACTCTTACTCTTTCTACAGCTATAAGAAACCACAACATTAAAAAACCAGTGGGGGGACATTTTAACCTTCCAGGACATTCAGTTGCTGACCTAAAAGCAGCAGTTCTCTTACAAAGGAATTTCAAAGGGAGAGTAGAAAGGGAGACTGCTGAATTGCAACTGATAATGAAGCTCAATGCATCCTCCTGGGCTGAACTGAGATCTAGGTTTCTTCTCTCATTACTAATGACTGCTATTGTTATTTGGGGCCTGAAATCATTTCACTCTCCAAGATATAAGGACAAATGGACTCACATTCTAGCTGTATCTGAACAAGTGGGCCGTGACTTATGAAAGCTCATGCCCTGAATACATTTTGTTAGTCATTAAGGTGCTATGGAAGTCTTGCTCCCTTCCACTATTAAGGACTGCAAGCTGTATTGTTAGATTTCTTTTTTTATTTTTTACCTCTTAGAACTGGAAAGGGACATCTCTCCAAGTGAAATAATGTGCTGCTTTCAGACTGGACAAAATCCACTCATTGCTAGTCAGGGCTTTTTTTGTAGAAAAAGCCCAGCAGGATCTCATTAGCATAATAGGCCACACCCAAGAGCAGAAACTCATTAGCATATTAGGCCACACCCCTGACAGCACAGCTAATTAGCATATTAGGCCACACCCCATGTTACCAGAAGTGTAGTCATCCAGCCACACACACCTTTTGCTTCTTATTCTGTTTACCTTTTTTGTTGTCAAAACCCAGAGCTTTTTTGTAGCAGGAACTTCTTTGCATGTTAGGCCACACATACCCAATTTGTAGCCAATCCTAACGAGTTTCTGCTGTTGGGGGTGGCCTATTATGCTAACGAGTTCCTGCTGGGCGTGGCCAACTCAGGGGCCAGCCGGAACTCCGTTCCTGTGCGTTCCTGCCCAAAAATAGCCCTGTTGCTAGTGATGATAATAAAAAAATTAAAAAGCAGGGTGGTGGTTAATGAGAAAAAGGCGGCCAGTGAGGTAGGAGGGGTGTGAGGGAGACCATGTATTGAACTGGATTATATGGAACCATAAATGTATTTTAAAATAATTAGCCATCTACTTCCAGCCATTCAACCATAGAATCCAATCCAAGTGTTGTAATACCTAATCAGGGTCTTTTTGAAAGAAAATAAAATCCCAAATTGGCACAGAAAAATCTAATCTTTTTTTTAAAAAAAACCTTTTTCAGAAAAGCCAAAATAATTACCCTTTAATTCCCCTTATTTCAGATGCATCTCTTTCCTGCCCCCCCCCATCCTTTTTTAATGTGATGTGTGTGCGTGATCAGGTCTCAAAGTAAACAGCAGAGCAGGGCTTGTCAGAAGCATCTCCCCCACCCCTGAACAGGAAAGCTTATACCTGGAATAAAACTTTGTTGTTATTAAAGGTGATCTTAAAGGACTGTCTCTCTTTCTTTTTCTCTCTCTTTCCTTCCCCCTCCCTCTCCCCCCCTCTCCAAAAGAGGGAAGAGAAGCTTAGCAACACAGCAGCAGCCCTGGAAGAGGAAGCAGGTGAGATCGGAGGGAGATTTTCTCTGGTGTGCATGTGTGCACTTTCTTTTTCCTTCCTCCTCACTTCCTGCCTAAAGGAGCTCTTGCGGGCCAGATTCTAGTCCTGCAGGGGCTGGATGTGGCCCACAGGCCACATGTTTGACATCCCTGAGTTAGAGAATAAATGGTTTGCAGGAGGGTGAGGGAAATTAGTAAAAATCATACCACCCAACCCTCTGGAGAAAAGCTCTGTTGGATTCAAACAAGGGGGTTCTACATATGCTGAAGAGTGCTCTTTTTGGCAATGAGTATATTTTTTTCTGGTTCATACACTCATTACTTTAATATCTAGCAATGACCTTGCATGTGTGATGAGCCTAGAAATACCACAGATGGAACTTTCATACCAGCTCAAGTGTTTTCCAGTACATTCAGCTTCAAGTAATCAAGACTTCAGTAATCAAGTGAAGTATATTCATGTGACTGTGTCTTTACAGACAGAAAAATCTTAGGTTATAGCTTAACAGTTTATCTTGCTGTTTGCTTTTTTGTACAGTTCATGACATTCTCCCAAAAAGGGGAATCAAAATGCATACTCATATGAGTGTGCATACAATATTATAGCCCTAGGGTTCCTAAAACTATGATTTTGTCTTGCTTAAACCACAGCTAGTAACAGCTATAAATCCTGAATTAAAATTACAGTAAAAATAAACATCTGCACTTGAAAAGCCAAGTCTTTGGTCTCTTGACTCAGAACAAGTATTGTTTCCAAACTGTAGAGGGAAAAATATCGGTCATGCTGATCACTTACTATGTAAATGATTCTTAAACATTCATTTAAATGCCAACTTAGACAGCTATAACCACAGTTTTTAAAGGTATCATCAAAAATGATTTTTTGAAGAAAAAGAACAATTCCTTTTGGAGCATTGCATAAACACTGTAAATACATAACTTTCAGGAATACATCAGAATGTACCTATTTACTGTAATATTGGTATGCAAACTGAAAAGTAGTGGAGTTCCAGGCGTAGCATAGTGAAATCAGCTCACATTTATTGATTACATCAAAATGAAAAGAGATAACTTAACCGGTGCGAGGCCAGCTTATATTTGTGCCCACACTCACACCCAACACACCCCCAATTCCCGTGATAGGTTCTATATACATGGCCCCGGTAACTATAAGTTCTTATCCGGATCCTAGTGCTCCCATTGGTTCTTGCTAGGATCCATGGTGGCTATTGTTCTAGACCCGAAGTTCTGTGAGTCAGGTAGACCTCATGGCCAGGCGCACAGAGTCGCAGCGATCTTAATACATACCACCCCTCCCCCCCTTAGTTTCAAAGTACTATCATACAAAGTCCCACAAGTACTCAGGGTGCCACCATTCTCTTGTGGAGTGGCGTGGCTCCAACGGGGTGCAGTTCGGCACGGTTAGCCCAGGTTGTGGTAGCTTGGAGGCGGCGGTCAGTGAAGTCTCGGGTGCTGGGGCCAGACCAGTGCTGGGCCTTGGGGCAGAACTTGGAGGAGGCTCTGAGGCTGTGTCGACCCCAGCGCGGGTTCTTCTGGGTCTGGCTCCACCTTGCTGTCCTTGGCATCCTGTACCTCCTGGTCAACGATGGGCAACAGGCGATGGCACAGTTGATCTATGTGCCTCCGGATGAGCTGGCCATCTTCTGTCAAGACCTCGTATGAGAGCGGTCCCGTTACTCTAACCACCTGGGCGGGGATCCAGGGTTTGCCCCATGTGTAGTTTCGGGTGTACACTGGACCCTCCAGATAAAACCCCCGGGGTGCCTCCTGGTTTACCGGGCCTGGGTTGTGGTCGGGTGCCTGGTCTGGGTGGAGCCAATCCAGCCTGGTCATCATTTGCCGGCCCATTAAGAGTTCAGCGGGGTAGCGTCCCGTGGAAGTGTGCAGGGTTATCCGTTGGCTGAACAAGAAGGCGGCCAGCCTGTAGTCCCAGTCCCCTTGGACGATCCGGTGCAGCGCCTCCTTGGTAGTTCACACCATCCGCTCTGCCTGTCCATTGGTTGCCGGGTGGAATGGAGCAGAGTGGATGTGTCTAATTCCATAATACTGCACAAACTCCAGGAATTCCGCTGACTTTAATGCAGTTCCATTGTCTGACACCAGAGTGTCGGGGATGCCATGAGTGCTGAAGATCTTCCACATGGCTTTGATCGTGGCTCTAGATGATGGGGACCACCTCTAGCCACTTTGAGTAAGAATCTACAAGAATAAAAAACGTCTGTCCCTGGAACAGGCCTGCAAAGTCCAGGTGGAGATGGGCCCATGTTTTGTGCAAGGAGTCCCACTGTCTGTCTGTCTGTCTGTCTGTCTGTCTGTCTGTCTGTCTGTCTGTCTGTCTGTCTGTCTGTCTGTCTGTCTATCTATCTATCTATCTATCACCTTAAGCAGAAATTAGAACAAAAATATTTTAAAAGTCCTTATTCAGTATTTCTCTTATGTTTGATTATTGCCCTTATGAATTTTGCCACTGAGAGGGTGACACTATCATTTGTATCCAATAGTAGCCATGATGCCTGGGTTCACACATTTAGCAATTCCGTATCTTTAAGTAAAGGGGTGACTAAATTAGCCCTCAACTCATTGAATATAGGACACTTCATAATCATATGTTCGATGGTTTCACTGGTATTTATTTATTTATTTATTTATTATTTACATTTATATCCCGCTTCAGTCTTGCCAAAGTAAAAGCTCTTCTTAGTTTTGGGACTGTCAATTGATAAAAAATATTTTGGCAGTTGCATCGGGAGGGCAATTCTCAAATGGAGTGTCAAACATGCCCTGCATGTCCTAATAGATGTACTTGTAACATCCAGCTTCCTTGCAATTTTTAACATTTATCTTATAATGACTTTAGTTTATGTATTCTTAATCATATCATTTGTTATTCCTAGGCATTTCATTTTCTTT